AAATACACAGACACGCATCTAATACTACAGCCCGAGAACTTCATCCAAATATTTCCCGTTTTACTTGACAACAGAATTTTAATATTTAAAAAAGTAGCTTTTAAGAACTAGTAGTTTTTGAAATATGTTTAGAACTGTTAGTGCAGACTAATATCAATATAGTATAAAACACACTGAATTATTAGAATTTATTTACTTCTTTGTCTATTGTTGGGTATCTATATTGGGGCTTTCCATCACAAATAACGTTGCGATAAAATTACCTGTATAAGAGTGTTTTTCTTTAAGACAGATTTGGACTGACACCCGCTTTCTCCTTAGATTGCGTTCATGGCTTCTCTAGCAACTCACTTCAGCAATCAGAACAGTGGCATTATCTTCAGCAGTGTGGAGACCAACATCGGAAACTTCTTTGATGTCATGACTGGTAGATTTGGGGCCCCTGTATCAGGTGAGATGTAAACATCAGTGAGTGGAGCCACTGAAGAGAGAAAGGTGGGAGGGGGGAAAGGGAGAAGAAGAGGTAGGGAGATGGAAGGGAAAGGATGGGGTGCGAGAAGAAAGGAAGAAGAAGAAACACAGGAAGGAAAAGAGAGAATGAATCAAAGACAGAAAGACAGGAGGGGAGGACAGGAGGGGAGGTGGGAAGGCAGATGGATGAGAATAAAGAAGGAAGGGAGGGAGAGAAGAACAGAGAAAAGGAAATGGTCTGATGTCCCTGAGACGGCACAGACAGCGCTGATTTTCAAAGTCCCCAGAACATAATTCTCAGTTTGACTGTGTGATAATTGTGTCCCTTGTCACTACCCCAAGGAATACCTGATCTATTTCTAATATTAAAAATTGAGTAAATAATACAATTTTTGAAGTTTATGAAAAATATATTTAATCTTATATGAAAACTAGCATACTCTATATTCTGAATGTAGTTTGTTTTTTTTTTTAAAAGAAAGACTTGCCATAATGTTTTAAAAATCTTTCCAAGTAATGACTTGTTTTTTTATAATTAACATATGAAAATGTACCTAGCCATTTCCTTGTTATTGATCCTTTGGGTTGTTTCCACATTTTGTTATTAAAATAAGTCTGCTGTCAGTACTTTTCATATGTCAATTTATAATAGAACACATACAGATATACCTGTAGGCTAATGTACCAGGAATGGAATCACTGAGTCAAAGAGAAAATGCCTTTATGAGTTGGATCAGCTCTGCAAGGTTGCTCTCTGTAAATGTTGTAGACATATATTCCTCTTATCAGGACAGGGAAACACTCATTGACCCATGACACCATCAGCAAAAGCTTTGAAATGTCTGGACAGTTGACCCATTAAAAACAGAATGAAACAAAAAAACTCCATTGTTTTAATATTTTTTTCTACTTTAAAGTTCTTTAGACTTACAGAAGAGTTACAAAAATATTGCCAAATGTTTGTACTCACTTTAGTCTGTTTCCTCTAAAGTTTACATTTAGTATAACTAAAATCTGATTACCAAAATGGGGAAATCCACTGGGCAGCACACTGCCACTGATTGTGGAATTTATTCAGAATTCACTACTGTTGCGGTTTGAATGTGAAATGCCCACCATAGGCTTGCATGTTTGAACACTTGGCCCCCACTGGTGACCGTGGCTTGGAAGGTGGGTGGAACCTTCTGGAGGTGGATCTTGAAGAAAGAAGAGGGTCACTGGGGACAGGTCCTGAGCTATCAGTCTGGCTTCACTTACTATGCTTCCTGACTTCAGTGGGAATGTGACATCTGCCTCACGCTCCCGATGCCAAGCTTTCCCAGCAGTGATGGACACTGTCCTTTCCTAAGCGGCAAGGCAAAGTAAATCCTCTTTAATTAAGTTGCTTCTTTTCAAGTATTAGGTCAAAGCAATGGGAAAAGTAATACAGTAAACTGGTATGGGACAGTGGGGCCCTTGCTGTCCTCAGCCTGACCATGTGGTTCTCAAGCACTTGGAGTTCGTTTGCAGGAGGAATGTGGAAGTGTCTGGAACTTCAGACTAGAAAAGCCCTAGAATGTCATGAGCAGACCTTAGTGGAAGAAGTTCCTGGTGGCAGTTTGGAAGGCCAGAATGCTCACAGGAATGTAGACTGCACAGGGGAGTTAAAGGGGTTCTTGTTCCAATATGGCCACCCAGGGAAGTGTTTTCCCAGACTCAGCCTCCAAGGCACATAGAGGCTTCTACAGCAGTGGTGCAAGGTAGGCCAGGCTCTATTTTGAGCTGGCAGTAGAAGCTGCCAGCAGCGTTCTCATGGTATTGGTTTTGTAGACAGTAATGCTGGCAGATTCACTGGGTCGTGGAGTCTTTTGCAGTCTGGTACCAAGGCTCCAGAGAGCCTCTGAGGCCATCTGATGTGTGCAGGGTCAGAGCCCCTACAAAGAGGATGTGAGAGGCTGCTTCATAGAGCTGTGAAGTTGCAATGGAGTCTCTAGAATGTTGAAGATGTTCGATTTTCAACGAAAGTTGGGGTTTTCCAGCAAGGAAGCCTGCAGTCATAGAGTGGATCTGCCCTAAGAGAGAAACCATATATACTTGGTACAGGTGGCTGAGATGGAAGGGCGGGGCAGCCAAAGCCCTTCAGGGTCAGATAATTCTCCCACGGACCCCAGATCCAGACTGGGAGCTGTTGGGTTGATGCTTGCCCTGGTAGGTTTTGCTCCCATGCCTCCCTTTTAGAATGGGAATATTTACTCCATGTCATTATGTTGGAAGTATGCAATTTGGATTTGACCTGTGCAGAGACCCACAGTTAAGAGAATGATTCTCAGAAGAGAATACTTGGCACTTGTAATCAGAGTTGGGACTGTTAAGAACAATGGAGATTTTAAAAATTGAAATGAATGCATTTTTGTATTGTGAGACAGCCATGAGCCTGTGGAGGCCTAAGGCAGAATGAGGGTGAACATGAAATGTCCCCTGTAAGGTCATGTTTGAACACATGATCCTCAGACGGTGGCACTGTTTTTGCAAGGCTGTGAAACCTTTAGGAGGTGGAAAGGGGTGCTGGGGGTTGTTGGAGGAAGTAGGTCACTAAGGCCAGGACTTGAGTTTTGAGTCTGGCCCCATGTCCTGTCTGTCCTCTGCTTGCTGGCTGCAGAGGCACTGAGTCACATGTCCTACTGATGATGCCACAATTTCTCTGCCATGATAAACTGCATTCCTCTTAACACGAGGAATAAAAAGGAGCCAGAATTACCCTTTCTTCCCTATGAACTGCTTCTTGTCAGGTATTTGGTCACAACTACTGGGAAAATAATTAATATAACCAGGATTTCCCAATGTCCCAGCTTTTGGTTCCTTCTCTGGTGTGGCTATTTCTACCACGGGTTCTTGAATTCTGCTTTAGAATAGCACCATTTGCTTTATTGGTATATCTACAACTCAGGATGGTGACATATTTGGTGATATATTCCATCTGGTATATGGCAACATGTCCTTTAGGTACTAGTCATCCATTGGATAGTTCTTGCTGTTCTTTCCACTTTTAAGAAGTAGCTGATGACTGAGTGAACCGGCTTCTCCTAGACCAGCTATTTGTAGGAGATTGTTGGGAAAGGACCCAGGCAACCTTGAACGTGTGACATTTCAATGCCTCTTCTTGCTGCCAGGAGACTGATTTTTTTCTTTGTATTTGTTCTTCTCTCATATATCCCAAATGCAGTTTCCTCCCTCCACTCCCCCAATCTCCCCCTCCCCACCTCCCCCAGATCCACTGCCCCTCCATTTCCCTTCAGAAAAGAGCAGGTCTCCCAGGGATACCAACAGAACAGGGCATAACAAGGTTCTTCAGTGGGGCTGCTCTGTGTTTTTATCCTATGTGGCCATGGTTCCTCTGTCTCCCCGCCCCCTGTCCCCATACTTCCTGAGAAAGACTTCTGAGCCAGCATTGAAGCTCCCTAGCTTTCAGGAACCTGGGTATTGCTGGCAAATCCTGATATCGGCCACTAGAGAAACACTTTGCATTCTCTAGTTTTTTCTAGCAAACTGTCCCTGTAGGGCTGATCCCAGGACTGTCTTTCAGCACTTGAGAGTGGCCTTTCTCCATCAGGGAGTATATTTTTCCTGGCAGGGTTGAGATCTATTTTCCGCTGCTCTAGAAGCCCTGTCCAGCTTCCTGTTGCTTTGGGCAGCACCTTCACATACTTGAAGTGTATTGATTTTCTTCAGTGTCATAGTGTTGCATAAGTTCGACAGTTTCTCAGTTTCGGGTTTTCAGTTTTCTTTCCTTGTTACCCTCCATGGTACAGATAGGGAAAAAATATGCCACCGAATATAGTGGCCACGTTAAACTTAACACACTTGCTTTTAATGTGTGCTTTGGTTTATTTCACTCTGTTTAAGTAAGAAATGGCCTAACGCATGCAACTACAGAGACAATCTTTTTATCACACTTCAGTCAGTATCACTTTGTGAGTTTTCTCTGAGGGCTTTAAGTTTCCTGTAACAATTTTTGCAAACCATGATCTGTACCATAGAAAAGTGCCTAGCTATGTTGGGTCAATGGTCTCACTGAGTTCAATGACTTCATAGTTAAATGATTTTTGAGCTCTCTTGGTTGGACACCATCCTGATGATAATATTTATAATTTGAATTCTTATACTTCCTGTTTACTTTTTAACCTCACCAGTGATGACCAACTGGTGACCATCTTTCCCACCTTTGCGGTTATAACACAAAGGTCTGCAAACCAGAGCACAAGTGTGTCTCCTCCCATTTCCTCAAAGAGAGCCCCATGTGCATGTGGCACAGGTTCACTTCTGCAATTCTAATTCTAAGAGTCTCATTATCTACCATCTGCTTTCTTAGTCTGCTCCTTCTAAAGTGTTTCTGCAATCCAGTTTTATTTATAGTATCATCATTTTTAAAGGAAGACTAAGGTATTTTCCTGTCATTTCGATTATAAATCTATTTTCTGGAGGCACTGAAAATTGTTATGTGTGCGTAAAATGAAATCCTATGAAGTGGAAAACACTAGACACATACAAGCTATCTCTTGAAGTCCTTTAATTTTCATGTCTTTGCTTTTCATCTATGAACCAGTCTCTAAGTATTTGAATGGGCATCTCTGATTGCCATCAAATATGCATCTCTGACACGTAACAAAGCATAATTGTTCTTTTGTGGCTCAACATCAGAAGGATCTTCATAGCTGATATCTTTATAGAAAAGAAACATGAATGGCCCATTGCATCTTTAGTTTTTTTCTTGTAGATATTTCTGTTTTTTTCTCTTGTATTGCTAGTAGTTCAAAACCTGAAACATGGAAATCAGCAAGAATACACTTTTACTAACAAGGTGTTGTGGCAGGGTTAAAGTTGAATATTTTTATTTAAACATTATTTACAATGTGTCATATGAGAAATGACCTGAACTGTTTCTTTAGAACTATGGAACTTGTGCTCTAATATTTTACCACCATGGCTACATTTGGGGAATGTAGTTGTCCATTTTAATTTCACGTTTGACTAGTTTTCTTAATGATTTTATAATCTTCCTCTTCCTAAGTATAAATAGGAAACACATCAAGTTAAAAATAATCAAAGCACTGGGTGTGACGGCACACCCCTTTAATCCCAGCACTTGGGAGGCAGAGGCAGGCGATCTCTGTGAGTTCAAGGACAGCCTGGTCTATAACGCAAGTTACGGGACAGCCTGTAACTTGGTTACACTGAGAAACCCTGTCTTGAAAAAATAAAAACAAACAAACAAACAAAAAAATCAAAGCACTTTTAAGGCGAGCAGACAAAAGTATATTCATATGAACAGGCCATGAAATTACACAATACACAGACTACAATCAAGCCGTGTGTGAAATCACTTGACTCATCTTGGATGTATGAGTGAATGAGTAAATCCTTGTCCTTTCCAGGTGTGTACTTCTTCACCTTCAGCATGATGAAGCATGAGGATGTGGAGGAAGTGTACGTGTACCTTATGCACAATGGCAACACAGTCTTCAGCATGTACAGGTATGTGACGTCATCAATCACAGGTCTCACGAGTGCTGCCATCACTTGAACAGAGGAAGTCCATGGACAGGGAAGAGCTTAATGGCAGTTCTGTTCTCCATGAGAATCCCCAGCTGGTTAGGTTATCACGTCTGTCTGGGAAGAACAGTAATGAACTTATCAAGTAGATTAAGAGACCTTGGGCAAATTACCAGCAGCACGCCTCATAATCACCACTCAGATCCTTTCTGTAACTCATTATTTCCCTTTCTACTTGGTGTCTTCTGCTTCCCTACCCACCCTTCGCCTGAAGTTGGCACTATTAGTAGTCTTCACAGCCTCCACTGGCCGATGGAGGAAGCTAGAACAGATCCTTTTCTTTATGCTGTGCATTACTGATACTCAACACCTGCTGGAGCTCCTTGGGGTGAAACATTTTAGAAACTGCTACGTCATGCTCTGTTGTTAGGACATACAGCCAGCCAGCACCCCCCTTTAATTAAGCGGATTATAATCTGTCCGTGAAAGACTTTTTGGCTCTTTTTTTTTTTTCCCCTGTAATTTTTATCACTTGTCATGATCTCTGTGTTCTTCTAGAGTCTGCCCTCAATAAGAAAGGGAAAGAGATAAGTTAAAACAGGTAACATTGTTTTTAGAGATCCAGGACACAGTAGCTCAGACATACCAGAACCTTAAGCAATCCAGGGCAAGGGTTCCATGATGGGGAAGTAGGGTGGCAGGCAGAGTAGAAGGGAGCATTGTAAAGCGGTGGTGGTGGTGAGGGGCAGCCCTACCTAACCAACTTGAGGGCAGCAAGAAACTAGTCCAGTTCCTGGGCAGGAGGGCACTCACCACTTTTCTCATCTCTGTGGCCATCACCTGCAAAGACACTACTTAGGGGAGGGTTGATTGAGAGGACTCAGCCCATCACGGCAGGGACAGCATGAAAGAGTTCCTTGTAGAAGCTGTGTGTGGCAGGGCTCCTCACACCTCAGTGGTCGAGGAACAGGGAAAGCCAAGTACGAGAATCTGGAGATAATGTGCACTGAAGGGAACACTGTTCCAACCTACTTTCTCCAGCTAGATCCACCTTCCAAGGATTCCACAACCTCCAAAAGCATTCTCCTAGCTCGGGACCAAGTGTTCAAACACACAAGCTGGTGGGGGACATTTTCTATCAAATCCAGAACAAGGAGAGAATGGACTCTGGTGGACAGCCAGCTCTCTCCAGGCCCCTGGTTCCCAAATATCCACCCAGCTCTTCCTCTTTCCTAGAGGACACACTTCTCTGTCTCGGTCTTTGTGGGAGACAGCCTACACCAGTTCAAACCCAGAACTCAGAGATGAATAGTTCTTTTCATAAGTGAACTCTCAGCTGCTTTTCTCTTTGGCCTCTGAGTCTATCCTTTGAAGGTTCTTCTTTGTCTCCTTTTCTCCATGGTCATATGCAAAGAGTAAGGAGTTCTTTCTGTCTGAGGGCTTTCTCATGCTCCACTTCCTACTGGTAGAAATCTGAGAACAAAGTCAAATATCCCAAGTCTTTCTAACCCAGGCTGAGTCTTTGGCAATGGCTTCCATAGACACATAGAAGGCTTTTGCTCTGTTTGCTCACAGTCAGTGACATGTTAGGGAATCAGATCCAGGATCCTTTCTGGACAGTTAGCCTGTTACCCTTGTGACTCTTTGTTGTTTTGCCATTTTCTAAATGCAGTCATTATTACCAAGAGACATTTTAAATAGTAGGTTTGGTTAGAAAGACAACATTTTCTCTCTATGAGATAAGCAGAGTATGACTCTGAGTGAAAGTTCCTAATGGGAACACATCAGCTCTGTCCCAGCTCTTACAGTTATAAAAGCACTTTTCTGTTTGTTTGTTTTTCAACCTTGTTAGAGTCCTGATTGTCTAGACTCTATTCATCTTTCAAGTATGCCTGCTCTTCTCCAAACTCATCTTTTAAAAGAAACATCTAAAATCTGCAGAGTATTTACCTCTCTTGAATCCTTTGTCTTAGGTGGTGTGTGTATACCAGGTCTATGTTACCGTGCTTTTTCCAAATATCTTCCAAGCATAACACGGTGTCTTAGTCACTGTTCTATTTGCTGTAAGGAGACACCATGACCAGGGCAACTTATAAAATAAAGCATTTAACTGAGGGCTTGCTTACAGTTTCAGAGGCTAAGTCCTTGAAGATCATAGTGGGGGACGGCAGCAGGCATGGTGCAGGAGCAGTAGCTGAGAGCTAACATCCTGATCCACAAATTGGCAGGAGAGAGGGAGGGAAGGAGAGAGGAAGAGGGAAAGGGAGAGGGAGAGGAGGGAGAGGGAGAGGAGGGAGAGGGAAAGGGAGAGGGAGGAGGAGAGAAGGGAGAGGGAGAGGAGGGAGAGGGAAAGGGAGAGGGAGGAGAGGGAAAGGGAGGAGGAGAGGGGGAGAGGGAGGAGAGGGAGAGAGAGAGAGAGAGAGAGAGAGAGAGAGAGAGAGAGAGAGAGAGAGAGAGAGAGAGAGAGAGAGAGAGAATGAATATAGAAATATGAGACTGGGTTTGTCATGAGCTTTAGAAACCTCAAAGACCCTACTCCCCATGACATACCACTTCCAACAAGGCCACACACATCCTAATGTTTCCTAAATGGAACAGTCCACCAACTGGGGACTAGATATTCAAATACATGAACCTCGAGGGGCCATTCTCATTCAAACCATCACATATCAGTCTTTATCTTTTCAGCTCACAGTATTTATTTACACTTTGCCTCCTGCTCAGCTGTTATCAAGTATATTTTCATTTTGGTTGTTGATAGTTACCTTCCTTGAATACCAAATTCCAGATTGGCAAGAAGAAAATAAGCCATTGTTGTAGACAAAATTCTAAATGGTCTTATTAAATGAAAATTACAGAGCCAAATATAGGGGTGAAAGCCTGAGAGAAATCAGAGGAATAGGGAAAGCCACAGCTAACCTTACCTCACCAACTCTACAGCTTCCAAATGTGAGTTACTTTCTATCTACCCACGCCTATATGCCTTGCTGTTCTGCCATCTGATTTGCTCTCTCTGTCCAGCTACATCACTTCCTCTTCCTGCCCAGCTCTGTCATTTCCTGTCTGTCTGCACAGACCTCCATGGTTAACTAGTGTTGGAATTTAAGGCGTGTGCCACCACACATGGCTCAGTTTCCAGTGTGGCCTTTAACTCAGAGATCTTGCCTGCCAAGTGATAGGATGAAAGGTGTGTGCTAACATTGCATAACTGTTGTGTTTACTTATAATCCTTGGTTATTCATCTGATCTCTAGGCAAGTTTTGTTTATTAGAGCACAAATAAAATATCACCACACATTGTAAAAAAAAAAAAAAAAAAGACTCTATGTAAAGGTTCAAACATAGTAGAGCTTTCTTTCTTCCTCATCTAACAGTAGTCCAGGGAGTTTTGGTAAGATAATCTCAGGTGTATGTTCCCAGTCTGCATGGGAGTAAGAAAGCTCTCTTCTACATAGTAATCTTCAAGAATTTTTGAATTTACAGCTATTTACAAATGGCTTTCAAGGACATTGCAGTTGTTGATATTCTAGAGGCAAAAAAGGAGGAGGTTTTATTGGACAGTTCTAGAAGTGGTTCATGCTATTTCCACTTGGATGCCATTTAGAGAACTTAACACACGACGACGACGACACCTAAAGCATGGAAGGTGGGAACAGAATATGCTCAGGATCTGGGTTTGCATGGCAAAGACTAAGTAGTGCGTCCCTCTCCTTCTTTCCAGTTATGAAACGAAGGGGAAATCAGACACATCCAGCAACCACGCAGTGCTGAAGCTGGCCAAAGGGGATGAAGTCTGGCTGAGAATGGGCAATGGTGCCCTCCACGGGGACCACCAGCGCTTCTCCACCTTCGCAGGCTTCCTGCTCTTTGAAACTAAGTGACAAGAAGGATAGGATGGCTCCACTTTGGGGGAGACCTGTAGCTGAGCTAGGATTGCTAGGATTGGTGGGATGCTGAATTGGGGGTCCTATATGGAGTATTTAACTGTTGTATTGGTCACTCTGCTACTTGTTCAACTGGTACACCAATCATGTTGGATGCTTCAGAGGCTCAGAAGAATAGGCCACAAGGTAACCTTCCCAGATGACCTTGGGAAATACTCAGCATCTTCTTCACTCTTCCCTACATGTCTGAAGGAAATGTCATCTGATGCAGGTTGGAAATAAGTGTTCACCTCAAAGGAGGTATGTGCAAAGAGTTTTGGTGCTCTGTTTCAATGTAGTATCAACCAAGTTCTAGTCCACTGTTCTTCACAACATTTCAGAGACTAGCCTGATTATGACAGGGCTGGGCCAAGAATAAGAAGACTCACTAGAACCTCTCTGGAGAAACACTTGTAAAGCTAGACTGGGGAATAGCGTTTGGTTTAGTGGCTTTGTGTTCTTTTAGTCATAGTAAAATTATTTACAATGCCACAAATAATTGGTTGCTCTTCAAAAACATAAACAAACATGTAAATTAATATTCAGTTCTAATGGCTTAGATTTTCAGATAAAACATTTTCTCATAATCCAGAACTGGGCTTATCACATCTGGCTTACCAGATCTTCTCTTTGCCATTGCATTATTCTGACTATAGTAGAGCTCTCTTGACTCTACACAACCAGCTGAGTTAAGATTAAGCTGATACAGTACAGATGTTATCACATTTTTTAATTTGAGGATTATCCAAAACGTTTATATTTTATATATAGCATGTTATGTTGAAGGACTTGTGAACTTAAGTCTATACAAGCAGACTAATGGATTCAGAATATAAGTGTATTCCATTTAAGGGAAACATAATAACACATCTTAAATGTTTTCAATAAAAGTGATGTTATTTTCTTTATTATCATACTTGACTAATGTTCACAAAGCATTTTTAATATTCCATAGTATTATAGAAGGTGCTAGTTGCTTTTTGCCTAGCTTTCCCCACCCCAGAATCTATCAAAAAAAGGATTAAATTTCTCATCCAAACACTTTCATAGAATGTTCCATAAGTTGGCACTCACAGATAGTACCACATATACATACATACACAAATACATGCATATATACATACATACATACATACGTGTGTGTGTGTGTGTGTGTGTGTGTGTGTGTGTGTGTGTGTGTGTGTATTATTGAGGCTCAATCCCAAGGCTTTGTACATGCGAGGCATGTGCTCTTCTACTGAGCTACATCTTCAGTACCCGTTTGATTCTTTGAAGAAAGTATCACTGTGATATGTTTACCCTGGTGTTAAATCATATTTAAAATGCACCAATGAGGTGCTTATCTGAAAAATATCACATAATCAATTCTCTTTAAAGTAACGAGCCCTTAATTTATTTTCTACAACAATTTAAACTTATGCAAAGGCATTTAAACCACAAACTTCCTTCAAGTTTTCACCAGACAGCTAGAGGCAATGGAAGTCAAGTAGGGTTGTCCTATTGACTAATTCATTGGCTTCTACGTCCAGTCCAACCTTTGACCTAATCATTTTTATCCACAAACTTGTTTAAACTCCTCCTGAACCTGCATCTAATGCTCTTTTAAAGTGAATAGCCATTTTCCATTATTTGCCTTATCAGAAAATATTTTTGTGATTTAGTGTGTGCTTCTACGCCGAGAGCTGTGGAGTCACAAGGTGAAGGTTTACTGTGATCAAATGCCACAAACATTTCCCAGAAGTGCAAAAGGTATTTGACTGTTACATAAGAACCAAAGAAATTTCATATCTGAAGACTATCCACTACCTACTAAGTGTCTTGGAGGACGATTCTGGCATAGCGTTAGATGAGATTGTAGCTGGAAAAACTACATAAGCGTATGTGGAAATAAATACCCTCTTGGTGATCACATGTTTGCTTTTTAAATGTTCTTAATAAGTATAATTGTTATATAATTACAAGTCGTGTGGTTAATGGAAAGCAAAAATATTTTCCTGGTTGCATGAACAGCCACACAACTGAGAGATGTGCACACAGCAAGGTCACCCATCTCCAGAAGACTCCACTTCCAGTTACTCCATCCCGCAATCCTTTATGACATCAGCGGTTAGCGGTTCCCTTTTAAGACCTGGGTATCTGAGTGGATGGGTCTTCCTCACACACCTGCAATCTTTCTGTGTTCATGCCAACATTCTAACCTTCATCCTAGCAGAGCTGCTCGTGGATTTGGTTGTGGGAGGATGAAATGACCTCATTGGCCAATCAGTACTAGTGGGTGAAGAGAGGTGGAAGGTCAAAATAATTACCAATGGTTCTACAGTGCTTTTACTCATATGGCCTAATTACAGAGTAGTCACTTATCTGAAGTACTATCTTCTGCAGTTTCAAATACATGCAGTGAACTGAGGTCTGAAAATACTAAATAGAAAATCCTAGACACTCATAATAAGATTTTAATTGTATGCCATTCTGAGTAGACTAATGGGATCTCCTGCTCTCCTACTCCTTCACTACAAGATATGAATCTTTGCTTGGCATACCCATACTGTATATGATGCCAGCCTGTTGGGCAATTTTTGCCTGTCTTGGTTATCATATCACATCACAGCACCTGTGTTCAAGTAACACCTATTTTGCTCAACAATGGCAGCAAACACAAAGGAGTGATACTGGTAATTTGGACATGCCAAAGAGAAGCCATGAAGAACTTCCCTGAAGTGAAAAGGTGAGAGCTTGTGCTTCAAAAGGAAAGAGAAAAAAAATCATATAGTGAGGCTGCTAAAACTACAGTAACATCTCTGTGGAACTGTGAAGAAGGAAAAAGTTGGTGCCAATTTTGCTGTTCTACTTCAAACTGTGGAAGTTAAAGCCACAACCATGATAAGTGAGTAAGTACAGTGGAAAAAGCATTACATGCATACATTTATTTGTTGTTTGAATCTAAGATGGTCTTATAATAAAAAAAAAAAAACCAGAGCCAGATATCAGGGTAAAAGCTGAAAGATCAGAGAAGCAGAGTAGGCCACAGCAACCACCTATTACCTCACCAACTCCATGAATCTTCTGACTGAAATCCTCTGAGTCTTCACCCGAAAAAGTCTCAGCTGAACTGCCTTAGTTCCTGTTTCCTCACGCCTTATATATCTTTCTCATCTCTGCCGTCACTTCCTGGGATTAAAGGCATGTGTGCTTCCCAGTACTGGGATTAAAGGTGTGTGCCACCACTGCCTACCTTTGTTTCCATGTGGCCTTGAACTCACAGAGCTCCAGACAGATCTCGGCCTCCCAAGTGATAGGATTAAGGATGTGTGCCACCACTGTCTGGCCTCTATGTCTAATCTAGTGGCTGGCTCTGTCCTCTGATCCTCAGGCAAGTTTATTAGAGTACACAATATATCATCACATTTATTTATGTATTATTCATGTATCTATAAGAAAAATTATATAGATACACACACAACTTAGTGTTTGGAGGAAGCAGAGTATCCACTAATCTAGTAAGTATCTTGGAAGAAGATTTTGACCTGTCCTTAGGTAAAACTACAGCAAGAAAAACTTCATAAGCATATATGGAAATACATACACACACACACACACACACACACACACACACACACACACACACTCACACCATCTTCTAGGATTTGATCTAATGTATTAAGAACATTTTAAGATGCTATTTGGATCATTTGAAATAGTAAAAATAAATAAATAAATAAATAAATAAATAAATAAATAAATAAATAAATAAATAAAGGGAGTACATCATGAAAAAGAGTTGAAGTCTAAATAAAAAAGCCATCCTGGATTGTGTAAGTCTCTAACCCTAGTCATTTGAGTCTGAGGCAGGAAAATCACAAATTTCACACTGCCTGGGAAACTTGGCAAGATCCTGAATCAACCTAGAAAGTCAACAGGCCTGAAGATATATCCCAGGTAGTGAAGTGCTTTCCCAGTATATACAAGGCACTAGACTCAATCCCATTTCAACACAAAGGAAAAAAAAACAGTAAAGTCAAATCAAAGTAAATGTATATTCCAATGAGAATATAAATCCCAAAGGACGTGGCTAGAGTTGGTAAACATCTACCGATTGCAAGATACAGTGCTACTCAACCATTCAATTTCCTGCCTTCTCTGAGTTTCCCACAGAGGATAGTAGGTTAAAAGTGTGGCCATAGTGTGAAGCAGATTTCAACAGCCACAGGCAGCAAGGGCCAGGTCCCTTTATATATATATTTATGGCTTTATTATTGTTTTGCAGTTTTGGGGATTAAGCCCAGCACCTTAAGCATGAACACTCTGTGACTAACAGAAACCCTAGACTTACAACTTTATTTTCAAACATAGTAATAAAATACACCATTTGACAAGTTCTCCACATATTTCCCTATCTTGACCCAACAGAGCACTCCAACTTGCTATTTAGAACCACTTGTGAATATAATTTTAGGGGCTGGAGAGATGGTTCAGCATTTAAGAACACTGGCTGTTTTTCTAGAGGACCCAGGTTTGATTCCCAGTGCTCACATGGCACCTTTTAGTCACCAGTAACTCCAGTTCTCTCAGGGAACACCCTCTTCTAGCCTCTTCAGGTACCAGGCATGCCCATGGTACACAGACATACATGCAGGCAAAACACACCCATACCAATACAAAAGTATAATTTTAATGCTTCTTACCTATATAATCTTTTGTGCTTTATGGTTTTTTTTTTTGTTTGTTTCTTTATTTTGTTTGTTTGTAATTGTTGTAGTTGATTTGAAACAGGGTCTCATGTAGTCCAGGCTGGCTTTGGACTTGCTATATAGCCAAAGATGACTGGATTTCTGATAGTTCTGCTTCTACTTCCCAAGTGCTGGGATTACAGGTGTGTGCCACCATACCAAAAATTGCAGTTTTTTTAAATTACAAATAATGCTTCATGAGTATCTTTTGTTTTAAAAAAATCTGAATACAATTGTATATGCATTATTTATATTATTGTTTCCTCTGATTAACAGAAGACAGTTTGTGCCAGAGGAAAGATCTGGAGTGTTGAGATTCCCTAGTACACCCTGCTTTGTCTGGGCCTCTGGATAACACAGTACTTTGAAATGATTTGTACAGCATGATGCTGGTTCAGACCTTTGATGCATGTGAATATGATCCTGTATGTACACTGAAGCCACATCTGTACCATTGTTTTTTTTTTTTTTTTTTTTTTTTTAAGAGAAACAGGATGGAAGCACTCTGATGAAATGCTAATCAGTGTGGAAGTCAGCCATACCATTCTTTGTAATTTCCTCTTCCCTTTCCAGTTTTTCAAAGTGCAAAGAAAAGAAGCGGAGATAATGAGGGAACTTTAGGCTGGAACAAGGGTAGACACATGAAACAGCAACAGACAAGCAGAGAGCATAGGAGACCATGCAGAGGCTGTCTGCTCCTGGCAGGAAGTAGCTCATTCTGGGAGAGCAGAGATTCCCTGCCTGGAAGTATCTTAAAACTCAGTAGCTGGTTAAAAGAGTTTTGGCTACAACTACGTAGCATTTCGCCTTTGCTTTTATTGTCTTTATTATTTCACTCGTTAAGAACCTGTGCCAGAGTTTTCTAGAATTCATGTCTAGCTTTATTCAGTTTCCTAGAGCTTTCAAAAACTGCATTTGGCCACCTACACACAGGCTCCACCCGCTACTGAGAAAATGACCTGTAAATGTGGGTGGGGTATTGGTTTTGTTGTACTTTTTTAAAGATTGAAAACGTTTCTAACTCGAAACTGTCATTGTCCATAAAACTGAAAGCTGGCCGGGCGGTGGTGGCGCACGCCTTTAATCCCAGCACTCGGGAGGCAGAGCCAGGCGGATCTCTGCGAGTTCGAGGCCAGCCTGGGCTACCAAGTGAGTTCCAGGAGAGGCGCAAAGCTACAGAGAAACCCTAGCTCGAAAAACCAAAAAAAAAAAAAAAAAAAAAAAAAAAAAAAAAAAAAAAAAAAAAAAAAAAAAAAAAAAAAAAAAAACCAAAAAAAACCAAAGCTGACAAACCAAAACCACTTTTAAAGTTCTCTCATGCAACCCCGGATGAACAACAATACTTCTGATATCCCAGACTCTCCTAAACGCTGGGGTGATAGGAGTCCACACCACGGGCATTTGAAGCGGTGCTGGCCTTCATGCACGCTAGGCATGCACTCTCCCAACCGAGCTACACCCTCATGCCTTCCTTTTCAAACTAGAGGCATCTAGGAGGGCGTGTTCAAACTGGAAGGAAACTACATTTTCAGGACGGCAAGGGAGACACCCTGTGGCCCACCGATGGAAATGTGCTTGTCGCCCTGTATTGTTTTAAATAGTAAGGTGCTTAAGTACCTTTAAGTCACTCACTGAAGGATGGAGGCAGGGATTCGGGTGGCAGTATGAAAGCTTCCGGAGAGGGACCCTCACACGCCGGAGTTCTCAAGGGCAAGGACTTACACATGAACTTGACCATCAGAACGAAGCAGACCAGCCAAATAGACTTTGGCCCCGGATGACCGCGGGTAGGCGGGGAGTGCGCAAGCGCGCAGCCTCCTTGGCGGGTCCCGCGCAGGCGCGTGAGGGAGGCGGGGGATGCGATGTCAGATGGGTCGTCCCGGGCGGATAGGGCGCCCGGCCGCTCGGCTTTCGCCCCGGGACCGGCCATGGTGTTGCGAGGCGTCAGGGTGGTGGAGCTGGCGGGCCTGGCCCCGGGGCCGTTCTGCGGCATGGTCCTGGCGGACTTCGGAGCTCGGGTGGTGCGCGTCGACCGGCTGGGCTCCGTGGGCGACGTGAGCTTCCTGGCCCGGGGCAAGCGCTCGCTGCTGCTGGACCTGAAGCGGCCGCAGGGAGCCGCCGTGCTGCGGCGCATGTGCGCACGCGCGGACGTGCTGCTGGATCCCTTCCGCAGCGGTGAGCCGCGGCTCGGGTTCGAGCGCCGCTCCCTCCTGGCTCGTGACTCTAAGCTTCTCTGACTCCTTAGGCTTTTAATTTGCTTGATTTCCCCCCCCCCACCCCCAAGCACTCTTCTACATTTGCCTTTATTAATTATTGGGGGGGGGGGGGGTTGAACCGTATGAGAATCTCGTGCAAGAGATAGATTGGAAAACTTGACATTGGAATATAGCCACTGACCCTTTGATATGTTCTATGCTCTAAAGCTATCCACAGACCATGCTAACCTGCCCCTAAATGATGGTATTCCCAAACTCCAGCTTCAAGATCACTTCGTTTACTATGGGCCGTGCAAAACCACTATTTTCATGCGCTATTAGACAGTGTTCGAGCTGTAGACTTGCATGCTTGGTGACATACACCTCCACCTGGCTGTTCATAGGCTTTCGTAACTGTCACAAACCCTGAACCAAGTCTTTCTCTGTCTGTTTAAAAACGGTGTTTCCTCCTGTATTAGCCCAGAGCATCCCATGGGCCTGTGTTTTCGTCAGTCACTGATTTTAGCCACTCTTGTTCCTTACGGACATTGCCGCCTGGTAGATACCAGGAAGCCAGTAAGTTTGACAGTGAGTGGGATGGGAATGGGGCACCAGGCATATTTGCATGTAATTTTTAGTCCTCACAGACGTCTCTGAGGACAGTAATGGTGACATTAAGGATTATATCACAACGTAAAAATTCCCCATTTGAAGATGAGGGTGGTTCAATGTGGTTAAGTAGTGTCTCCAAATGACTCTTAAATTATGACAACTTTCACCAAAATCACAACAAATAGTGTTAGTGTTACTTGTGAGGGTGCACTCTTAGTTTGCCCTGTAGAAGGAATTCTCCCAGTCTTCGACTTTTGCTCTCTTTAAAAACAATAAACCATAAAACAATTGTTTACTTTTCTCTAAAGGGGTCATGGAGAAACTCCAGCTTGGCCCAGCCACTCTATTGCAGGACAACCCAAAGCTCATCTATGCCAGGCTGAGTGGATTTGGCCAGTCAGGAAGTTTCTCCAAGGCAGCTGGCCATGACATCAACTATTTGGCTTTGTCGGGTATGTTGGAAAATGCTTTTCTAAAACACTTTGAATTGGCTCCAAAATCAGGAAGTGCAGTTACATTGACTGACAAGGGTTTAAAATACATTATGTTTTTATTATGTGTAAGTGTGTAGGTATATGAATGTAAGTACACAGGCGTCTAGAGACCAGAAGAGGGTCCTGGGTCACCTGGAGCTGGAGTCATGGGTATTTGTTGTGAACAATGCTATGCTGGGAAGTGAACTTGGGTCCTCTGCAAAAGCAGTACATACTCTGGATGACTGAGCCATCCCCCCAGTCCCCAGCCCTGATTAACAAGAAGTTTACAATGTAAAGATATATAAATACTTACTGCAACTGGCAAAGAGAACATAGTTGTTAAAAACAGATTGATTTGAACTGCCATTCTTAAGCTCTACCTGCATGCCCACCCCACCCCAACTCATTGGGTGGGTAATAATCACCAATAACACAAGTTTTCTACAGTTGGGAAGTCAATTTTCAGAAGGGCCCCTACTGGGAATGAGGAGCAAGGTAATAAGATAGATAGGTGGTCACTCCACATATAGGGAAAGTTGATTTAGTTTAATTCTGACATTCCCTTACCAAGAATCATTTTGAGCCATCATTTCTGACTTCTGTGAGCACTGCTAAGCTCACAGTTTCAGGTCTCATGATCACTCTGTTAGAATGTGCCTGTGAGAATGTGTTTTAGAATGGCCTGACTCTATGATGTCTAAGAACTGTGTGTTACTGATGGAAACAAAGCTCCTACTTTCTGTGAGAAGGTATTGAAAGGTTGAGGGGGAAGTGAGTATAATACTGGCTTTTCTCATCTTTTCAAAACTTAATTCCTGTTCCTTTTGTGTATGATTGTTTTCTTACATCTCTTTTTAATAAAAGTGTATTATATTGCTTTAAAGCCAGGAAACAATTTGACAGTAATTATTTTCTCTCTAAAACTTAGTAATTGAAAACTTTAATAAAATATTAAAAATGTCAGTTGGGATGATATTTTATCTATCTATCTTATCTATCTTATTTTATCTATCATCTATCTATCTATCTATCTATCTATCTATCTATCTATCTATCTATCTATCTATCTATCTATTTTGCCCTGGGAGAGTTCACTGTATAGCCCAGGTCTAGAAATCCACATCTGCTTGCCTCAGTCTACTGAGTGCTGGAGTTACAGCTGTGTGCCACCCCACTTGGCTTTAGGAAAATTTATTAGAGAGGAAAAGTTGAAGCAAATGGAGCCTATCTTGAGGGAACGCTTGTTTGTAAGTAGACTAAATGGATTCATAGTTTGAAGAGCACTGTGTACCATTTTCACTTGGGTCAATGACTATAATAACAATTGGTTGTCCAAGGTGCTCACGTCTTTATTTAAAGGTGCATTCAATGTGTTGTCCATGGTGCAGGTGTTCTGTCCAAGATTGGCAGAAGTGGTGAGAACCCATACCCACCGTTGAATCTCCTGGCTGACTTTGGCGGTGGTGGCCTCATGTGCACACTGGGCATCGTGCTTGCTCTCTTTGAACGCACACGTTCCGGCCAAGGTCAGGTCATTGATGCGAACATGGTGAGTATTAATTGGGTGGGGGAAGTGGGGGTGATAGGGCTGCCATATGATGTATGATGGCCTCAAAACTTTCTGAACAAGACAAGAAATAAATAAGGTTTAATATTGGAATTCAAGTCACCAAAGAGGTTTTGTTTTGTTTCTTTGTTTTTGGGTTTTTTTGTTTTGTTTTGTTTTGTTTTGTTTTTGACAGGGTCTCTCTATATAGCCCTTGCTGTCCTGGAACTCATGGAGAGCCACCTACCTCTGTCTCTTGTATGCAGGAATTAAAGATGTGAGCCACCATGCCTGACAAGAGATCTTTTTCTTTCAAATAGCCCCACCCTTTTGTATTCGTTAGAATGCCATATTGAAGTCGTCTACGGAGTCAGCACTCTAAATGTTATTCATTTTTTTATTTAATTTGTGTGAGCGTGTAAGAGTATATCTGGAGGTCAGAGGACAACTTGGGAGAGTCAGTACTCTCCTTCATCATGAGGCTCGGAGCATTGAACTCAGGGTGTCAGCCATGACAGTAGGCACCCTTCCCTGCTAAGCCTATCTCCCGGTGTGCTCTAAATTTCTAAAAATTCACCTGATTTCTATGCTGTATTTCAACATTTTCCTCCCATATTTTGTGATTAAAATAGAGTTGCCATATAATCATCCTTCAAAACTGAGCTTCAGAAGTGGTTCCCCAGCCAATGGAGTCCGTTCTTAGAGATGCTAAGGATGATGGGCCTTCCTGTCCAGACTTCCTGTGCATTTCTTAGGAGATGCTTCAGTTTTGTGTTTCTCTGTGTTCACTGTTGTGTATGAGCACTCACCCCTTCCTGTGGGGCCCTTTCTCTGTGATTTCTGTCTTCAGTCTAGAAGAGTGCACTATTTCCCCTGTCTTCTGCTGGGGTATGTTTCAAGAGTCCCACTGGGTGCATGAAACTGAAGATAATTCTAAACTTTGTATTACTATATTTTCCCCAGATATACCTGCATACAAAATTTATAAATTAAACACAGTAAGAGATTAACACAACACTAAAAATAGAGCAGTATAAAATAAGTAATAAAAAAGCTTATTTATGGACTTTTCTAGTTAATATTTTCAGAACCATGGTTAATTTAAACGGTGGCTATTGAAAGTGAAATTCTAAGGGGGAGGATTGTACCATATCATGATGCCTGGACCCTTATCTCAGCTCTCATAGCTCCTCGGTAAGAGTTCAGTCCAAGGCTGCGAGGTCTGTGGAGGTCAGACAGAGAACAGATTTGAGGGAGACAAGACCGGAAGTACAGGGACCAGTTAACTGGGGTTTGCTGAGCAAATAAGGGCACATTCTAAAGCAATTAATGTTAGACCAGGACTGGATTGAAGGAATACCGGATGTAAAATTGTGTGGGGGTGGGGTTGTTGATGACTTGGCAATACACAGAGAGGAAAGATCAGAGGGCGGAGCCAGATTTCTGGCTCGTGTGACTTAGAGGACAGTGTTCCTGGCTGCCAGCGGAAGACTTGACAGGGAGCAGATAGCACAAAGCAGCGGGGCACAGGGTGACCGCTGACTTCTCTCCTCCTACCTCTGCAGTTTCTTAGCTCGGTCATCTTGGAGGGCCACTTTACAACCGTGTCAAAGTTGTGAAATGAATGAAATGTCCACTTGTCAGAACGGATAGGGAGTTGCGTTAGGTCATCATGGTGTGGGGTGTCCACAGTGCCCTGAATTGACTCTCTAAGGATTTGTGATGGTGAGTCTTTTTTTTTTTTTTCCCTTAGATGAAAATGAATTTAGTTTTGTTCATTTCAAGTTTGAAGTATTTTTTGTGTTGTGAGCCTAGCCTTTAACGGCTGAGCCAAGTTTGAAGTTGCTTTTCAGTATGCAGGGGGAATAGTTTATTAGGAACTAGTACCAGATTTTGCGGTCA